TAAAAAAGGAATGTCGATCTTCACGCGACTCTTCAGCCTCCCTTTCAACCTTAGTGATACATATAAATACAATTGAAACTCACAGGAATATGTGTTAAAAACAAACGAACATTACTTGCATTGGGATAAATTGTCCTTTCTTATCTAGCTAACCCTAGATAAGATTTGATTTATAGCCAACCCTAATTTAATATACTTATTTCTCAAAAGAGAAACGAGTAAAATTTAAATAGAAAACAGCTGGATCGAAAGGGTCGAGTGACAGAGTGCTTCGATAAACCTTGGAACATACATGTTTTAAATAAATTAGGCACATTTCGAAATACTACCCCCTTACCCAGAGAATCTTATTTTATCATATTTTATTTCACGTGGCTCAACGAAAGATATAGCGCACCACTGATCTATACTATCCCCGCGAAGAAACGAATCGCGTCGACATCAGTCTCCCTCGTTCGCGTTTTAGAAAGAGTGCCGTCTACATTTGCGTTCGAATAAAACGACACGTTTCGATCCATCTTCCTCGTCGCCTGCATCGACGCTTCGACGAAGCGTTCGACGCTCATCGAACCTTCTGACGGAAGGCTCGTCAAAGAGAATGGAAGCGACAGCTCGGTACGCGCCGAATACATCCGGTGTCGCGGATGGAAAGCGATGCAGCGAACGAAACAAGAACGAATCGCGTACGCGTACTTCGAACGGTACAGTTGAAATAACATTAACTGGTCGCACGAAGCTGGTTTGTGCACGATTTTTACAGCTCGTAAGTGTACAATTTTTAAAGGACGATCTTATAGTCTGGAATTATTAGTCGCTTTGCGTTTCGACGTCTTTGGAATCTATAAATGTTGCAAATTACCCGAATCTACGAAATCGACCGCGGCGTACCGCGTATTGGGTCTTTTTGGACCCAACAGTGTCCATCGGCGTTTCTCGTAATTAAAGTAAGACGGACTAGTATACAGTTATTTTATATAATCGTTTCTCGTCAGCGATCGTCGCAGTATCTGAATTCAACGAACGTAAGTCGCATCTTTGAGAATCTAGTAGAAATTAAAAATAACTATAATGACAATATTAGTCGAACGATGGGTAGACTAGTAAAGTAACATGTACCGTGACTGTACAAAAATGAATTTATATCGATATCTGTAGCACGTATTCGATAAGCGTCATTTTTCACCAGGAGTTTTTGCATCGGTAGATCGAATAGATGTTGTTACAGCATTACGGCAAGTTTTCATTTCTGCAAAGAAAAGAATTTGCAATAACGTAATATCTCGAATATCTAGGATTCCCTGTTTCACAGAGGACACTCTAGCCGATACAATGAAGATAGCATCCATCTCGAGTAGCTTTAAGCGACCAGTTGATTTAGTTCCAACAGTACACGTGCATAATACATTAATGACCTGGTCGCATCAAGACAGACAAGCTCGCAGGCCTGTAATAGATGTCGTGAAACACTTGCGCCAACTGGAGGGGTCATTTCCATCGCCTCCGAGTGCATCGAGGAGTTCTCTGTATCTCTTCCATCTGTATCACAGTGGAGCCTTCGTAGCAGTAAAAAAACGGTGTCAGAAATTCCTATAAGCAACGAGATCTGTTCAATTAGATAACTGAAGAAAGCCACGTATAGACCAAAGAGCCAAGGCAACCCTCGCGACATCCGAGCACATGTGCCTTGGCTCTCTTCGCGCAATGCATTAACTTGTATTGACCCGTTATGTAATCCTCAGGCACTTATCAACAATTTGCTTTCGTTTGAAACGAAAGACACTACACTTGTTGCTAAGCGACGCGACCCTTCCACTTGTCAACGCAAGACGTGTTGAATCTATTAACCCTTTATTTACTGAATTTCTCAAAAGGTTTTCAAATCTAGGCATCCATCTTGGTCTTATATCATCTTATAGAGTTGTCTCTAACAAGCTTCCAAAAGAAAAGAAGCTTGCGCTGCCATCCAACAATTAAAAACGAACTTCGTAGAAGTGGTTAATTAACACGTTGATTGCCACGCTGATTCACATGGAAATGTGTACGAGACTAAAATTTTGTCTCGAGACTATTGGGAATTATAGAATCTATCATTTGTCGTATTACCAATTTTTATATCCCTGTAAAAATTTACGAATTCTATCTAGATTCATTTTCATTAACGCTCAGTCCTTAAAATTAATTGTTAAAATTCCTCAGTAAAAAGCTCTGTCATATATCTGCCATATATGGGTGACGTAACGTGTCAACGTGTTAATACAGTACCATGAGAAAATTGACGGGACTTACAAGTCCCGCCAGTAAATAAAGGGTCGAGGTTCCACTGTGAAATTATCGAGCTTTCGCGGTTCCTCCTAATTGGAAGATCGACTCGTAGACGGTGCCTACGTTCCTACTGCTTCCAAACCTCAGGGGTGAGAGTAAACGTCGCGGGGAGTAAATCTCGAAATCTAAACTATAGGGGTACACGCCTATCCGCGTAGTAGCGCCGTACGGGTAGGACGATAGCGTGCAATAGACGGTAATCACGTTACGACTAACGTATTCGTAAAAAATACTTCCGATAGAACCCGATTACTTAAAAGACGGAAGTAGAACCAGCAATTGTTACCGTAAACGCGGTTTGTCGACGAATTTTTAGCATCGTACTTAAGGAAAAACAAATGGATAAACCAGAAAAAGAAACGCGAAATAAAGGATACGAAAAACGAAGCAGGGATTCGAGTCATCAGATTTTGAGTTCCATGGTAGCCGACAGTCGGGTCGTTCACTGATAATACCGTAAACGGCGCTATTGATACTCGAGGCAGCACCCGGGTACGTATCGCGTAACGTCTCACTTTGTTTGAACTAAATTATATCATTTTACATGTTCCTGAAAGTCTTCAATACTCGCAAATTTCCCCGACAACGTTTCTATCTCTATCATTTCGTTCTGTGTCTCCTTCGTTGCACGGCTGTTATCCATGATATTATATTTGTTTTGATAGCAGTCAAGCTGATTGTGAGCCTCGCCTTTACACCACTCTGTATATGTACTGTTTATATGGTGTAATAAAGACGTTGTTGTTATTATTACTATTATTATATGTAAGCCGAGTATGAACCCGCTCGAAAGTGACCCTACCCTCAGAACGAACCAACCAAACTCTTGATTACCCAGATATATCGGGTGCTCGGTTCGAATCGATAGCATCTAGCCGAAAACGAGGGACTGAGGGAACGTTCGCGACATTTGGCATACATATGTGATTTTTCTCGTTCTCCCTCTTTTTCTCCCTCTCACTTTTTACCCCGATGGACATCGGGTCACCACGCGCAACACCAAACCATTGACAAAAACACGCGCCAAAACGACTATTCTTTCCCTCGAGAGCGGCGTACGCCTACTCGAGAGCGTCAGGGTGGCGTTTGGAACACGTGTGACGTTCTTGTACAGATTTCAGCCAGCGAACACGTTAATACAACTCGTATAATACAATTAATACTTGTAAAATATAATTGGAACACTTGTTTGCTCGAGAATTATTTGAGTTCTTCGGTATTACGGTACGAGACACGAGTATTTAAATATTATTCAAGTCTATCTGATTATTCGAGGACTAGGACTTTAGAAGCTTGGACTTCTCAAACATTGTCCAACAAACAGTATCAACAAATAGTACTACCGCTTAAATAGAAGTAAATCTAATCATGAATCAACAAACAATTTTTCGATAAAGGAAAATATGCTTCCTTAAAGTCTAAGGTATACCTCCAGATCGCTATGTCTGTTCCATTCGCTATACCTGACCTCTAGAACATCTATGGCAATACTAAACGCGAAGAATACCCATAAACTAGAAAACTAGATCGTCCTTTGACCATACATACTTATAAACACGGCTACAGATAAAACCTTTGAAGGAAAGATAAAATCATCTATGTGACGTCACATGAGGGCAAAGTAACGATGGAACTTTGTCGTTGAATCTATACTATATATATATTTTGAAATACTAAATTTAAATTATAATGTTATTGCCTTGTAACTTGTTTTAGTTTAAAAAATAGTGAAAACAATTGACGTCAAGAGTAAAGTTATTTATAATCATTGGTTACAAAATAAAATAGATTTGAATGACCTAGAAATATTATCTTGTGACGTCACATGAGGGCATCCTTTCCCGTTATCTTTGCTTCACGTCGATCCATAGATCCATATATACAGGCCGTGCCTACGATTATATATAGTCGAAGAGATCGTCGCGTTGCGTCAAGGATGACCGCGAAAATGACGACAACAACGTTCGGAAACGCTATATTTGCGCGGCAGCGCAAATGCTCGTAAGATCGTTCGGAAGCGTTTCAGGTTCCTTTCCGTTCTGTTAGTTTGTTTCTGCGTCGTAACGGAGCAAGACCGCTGCCGCGTACCTTATACATTAAACATTAGCTCGTACATAGAGGTATATTGTATACAAGAGTATCCAGGAAACGTTTAAAATAAAAGCTTATTTATTGCCGAGTAGAAGGACAATGATTCCGATTACTCCCCCACCTATGTAGGTCGTTCTAAGGTCTTCATATACCTCCTTCACTGTTCGAGGCTCATTTCCGAAGTGGTCAAGTTCGAGAATACATTTGGAAACTTTCCTAAAAAGACAATATTACTGTACTGTGTACCTGTATCTCCACACAGATTCGTAAGACTCGAGAAATGATTTTGACAACAACACTGATAAGAATCGTGCAACACGGAGAGGAACAAGTTGTGCGCGAGGAAAATCAAAATGAAAGACCAAAAGAAAATCCACGTGGGAAATGTAAATGACAATAACGATTACTGCGATCGTATTGTATTAATGATATTCATAACTATTTATAATATACAATGTCCGAGCGAGCGAGCGAGAGAGAGAGAGAGAGAGAGAGAGAGAGAGAGAGAGAGAGAGAGAG